TACCCCTATTCACCCCCCCCCCCCCTTTGTTGTATCTAGTGTACACTACATCATTTTATTATAATCATACTCCTGACTAAAGTTTGGAAATTGTACACACAAGATGTCTTGGTTGCACATCTAAAATTCAGGTTTGTTTTCATTGGCAGCAGCACCTAGACTTGTGACTCTCTAACAATTTTAGTTGGGAGTTATAGAGCTAGGGCACCATAGGCAGTGGAATGCGGGAAGACCGGAACGAGGGGCTAGGAGGGCTATAGCCCCCATTAATTGGTTATATTCCAACTCGATTTTATCAAATGTTTGCCTAGTATAGGTCTACGTGTTGGTTCCAACATTCAATTTGACAGCATATGGATTTATTGGCATATCACGTTTTACAGACAATGCCACGCTGTTTTACGTTTAGTGCATCACTCTTTTACATTGCTGTTGCTGTTGGGTCTGGTTGCTTATAAATTTTAATATTATAAAGCTCCGAATTTCTTAAAATTGACTTGGGATATAACCAATTAATGCCATTTGCCTTTCGATTTGTGTGGTTGCGTCGCTCTTCACGGCCAACTAATGGTCATATAATAGAGCGATATATTATTTATACCAGCTATAACTATAAGTCGCGGCCTTATTTCGCGTAAGAGGTCAATTTATTTGTGGTACAAAAGGTACAAGAGCTAGTCCAAAATAATCTGTCACTTAATGAAGCTTGATTGTTGTGGACGACTTAAATCATTGCTCTAAAGTTTACATGCCTCAAATGTCAGGGCTTAATTATTAACTTGAGCTTTGAATATTTTCAATGACTTCGAGTTAAGCCACCCTTTTTTCACAAGACTTAACTCAAACTTTCTAAGTTGTGTTTCTTTCTTGACGGAAATGGGTGTGGTTTGGGCGTGGTCGGGCTTAACCCGGAAAGGGCTTAACTCGAAGATTACCTACCTCTGCTTGTTTATATTGTTGGTACGCAGTTCATACTCTTTGATCTGATTTAAGAACCCATTTCAGCAACATATACTACTTTCCTTGTTGTCAGCAGATTCTGAGCTACTATATTTTTGTGAATGAGAAGTTCTATATTTCTTTATTATATAGAAAACAATTTGCAACAAGATATGTGTGAAGATGTCATCAATAGCATGATAAAATGTTGCACACAAGTTGAGGCCAGATCACTTCCACGATGCTCTGGATTTTTAAGGATCATTGAAAAGCAGCAAAAGACATAAGCTAATCTGGATTTTAGTTGTAAATTTTATCAACGGGACATACTGTAATTATGCAGTTATTTGCATATTTACAGTTTCGGGCAGACAAAAATGCAATCTGCATGACGTCAGTTACAGTACATGCTATACTGGTATAGAGTGTTTGCATGTGACGTCATAAAAATTCTAAAAGCTTAAGCATTTAACATGTATAGTTGCCCATTTTATATATTTTGTATATCCTCACTACAAGTATTCCTAGCAAATTTCAAGTCGATACAGTAATTCATTCGCAAGTTAAAGGGGCTTGAATAATTTATATTGCTGACGTCAGCATTATTTTGAAAGGCTGTTATAAGCTATGCGGTTTTCCAAACCTAAGTTGAAATAGTTCGGTGGGCTTTCAAAAGCTTTATATACTTAACATCAAACACAATTGTGGACCTGTGTGATAAAATATATCTTTCCTTGTGCATTTACTACACGGCCCCCAGGTTGGTGGTCTGAGATTGCATAATATTGGACCACCAACATGGTGGCCGTGTAGTAAATACTCAAGAAATGTTACAATCTATCATCTGTGATATAGGTGATATTCCTAAGAAAAACAAAATTTTGTGGCAATCAGCAGCTAATCTGTAATGCCATTGTCCCTATAGCCAAAAATGCCCTTAGCTCAGACCCTAACATTATGCCAAGTTGTTGGGGGGGGGAGGGGGGGGGCCAGAATGTCCCCCTCGAGAGATCCACTGCGGGTCACAGATTATGTAAAACTCTTATTGATCCTCAGATAGTGACTCTGCTATACATTACATGCACGTGGCTTTATTATGTAATTAGAGCAAAATAAGAAAATGATTAATAGTGTTATTGTTTTTTAATTATGCATGTTTTGCTTCTTTAAGTAATATGTATGGTGAAGCTCATCTCGTATATTTAAACAAAACTTTACTAAGCTCTAAAGGCTTTCTGAGTCTAGCTCACTGATCTCTAACTACAGTCCCAGACAAAACATCTGCGACACTTCCAACTGGCAATTATTTGACCAACTTTCGTAATATTATCTCCCCCCTTACCCCACCATTCAATGTCGATTGCATTCCCAGAATACGGTTAAAGCAATTTTAATGCATCGTTATGGGGCGCGTGGAGGGGGGGACGAGTAAATTATTCCGGTCCAATAGAAAAGCAAAACCATAGCCCGCGTGCAGGCCCACCGAGGGAAGAATAGTGGAGCAAAACCACAGAGACTGAGGCATTAATGTTGCATTATAGTGTCGCAGATGGTTTTGACCAGGATTGTAGTCTCCTGAGACACTGTAAAGCCTCGAGCGATATAGTAGACAGATTTAGATTTGGCTACGAGATACGTTGCTTGTACAAGCTCGCCATCGTCTTACGCCATTACGTACACACGGCATATCTTATAGTAGATGCTTGTTTTATGAGATTTTTCAAAAATTCCCTTGTCAATTTGGCAACGGGTACGAAATTAATAAGGCGTAAGTACATGATGGCGTAACGCCTCTTTTCCATTCATCACAAGAGTGCGAATGCTTTCATCCAATCACAATGGTTGACAGTTTATGTTAATTGGATGCAATCACTCGTAGGTTAACACTATTTTCCATCCAGCAAACCGCCCTATCGATTTTATAAAGTCGTTTCTTTTTGGATTTTTTTATTAATTTGGTTAAGGTTAAGGTTAGAGTTAGGGTTGCGGTTAGGGTTAGCTAGGGGTTAGAATAGGGGTAGGGTTTGGGTTAATTACATAGCCATTTAACACCTCTTCCAAAAATGACGTCAGGTCAATTTGCTGGATGGAAAATAGTGCTAACCTCACTTCGTAGCGAGCTTGCGAGTTCCTTTTGCGATGAGTGGAAAAGAGCCACAAGAATGTGGCCTACCCAGGATCTTTCAGAAAGATCCTGGGTACGAGGTTGATCTCATAGTCCTATTCAAGGTCAAATCTACAGGGGCTGGTTGTTTGAAAGTCAATTAGCTTAATTAACCTTAGGTTAACCTAAAATTTGAATCAAATTTCCTAACAGGTTTGTTTATAAATTTGGAAATATTTCCTCAGAAATGTTGTCTGGATCAGCAGGAGTTTTCATCTGAAATAAACAGACGTGCAGAAATACATAAACTAAAACAGCAGGTTAAATATTAACCGAGGGTAAGGCTAATCCAGGGTTGAACAACCGGCCCCAGCTCTCTAGTGAGCCGCCGACAGGGGCAAAACTTTCTCGGGATCCCCTATGACATCATAATTGTAAAACAGGTGAAGCGGTGTTTTGCAGTAATATTAAACTTCATTGCAAATCACCCGGCACTAACGCAGCTTGGATTCATTTCGTCAGATAAGCAATTTTGCATCAAGAAAATCTAAGGGCTTTCGTTGCTTTGGGGGGCCCTTTTGAGCTGGGGGTTCGGGGAAAAGTGCCCTACCCTCTCGGCGGCCCTAATTAAAGCTACGATCCCGCACATTGTTTTGGTCTCAGAGCTTATACATAGCATGGGCTTTTAATACTAGCTGAGACAAACTAAGACATTTTCCACATAATTTAACTTGGTTTTTCTACATTATATCATTCCCTTAGGAAATTTACAGGTTTTAGTGAGGTTTTAGGCAACATTAAGTACTTCCCCATGCTGCGAGGCTAGTCCTTATCGTCGTCATTTTCGTCCTCTTCCGTTGGGACTTGCATGTAGCCATCAAGGTCCTTGGCAGTTAAGATGTAGGTGGTGAACACAGCAAGCCAAATCATGGTGACGATGGAACAAAAACACAAAGTCAGTTTCGTACCAATTTTATCAAAAAGAAACCCCATTATTAATGTGCCAATTTCTTTTCCAGTTCCATGAACCATTAGGCTGACTGCTGCTGAAACAATCAGGGGAAAATTAGGTCTGGACACATCTCATTATTCAATGCAGTATATTAGCCTGCAAACAAATTTCGGTGCACTGATTACTTTGAACCCCCTCAGAAAGTCGCCATCCCACCTAGAGAAATTTTCACATACACCCAGAAACGTAAATGCCAACACATTGGATTAAATGACACTAGTATAATTAAAATAAGGATTTTGAACTAAATAAAACCAAATATCTCAAAATGTTTGTTGGGGCTTCGCTCCCTTACCCCCCAACCCTGTTTCCATTAGCGACTCTGCCCCCAGACATCAGCTGCAGTTTGCTCAGCGGCGTAACGCGTCCCTTCGCTCCTATGCTTCGCTCCCCCCTGAAAATCCGTGTATGTCGCAGGCTAGTATACTATAATGTAATCAAGAATAAACTGCCGAGGTTTATGTCTGCGCAGCTTGAAAAAGGCAGACCCGTACATAGTCCCTGAATGAGGTTTGAAGAAAGCATGCATGGTCATTACCTCCAGTCCACTGATCTATATTTGTATTTAATATAGCTAAGACGACTGGATACGAGTAAGTCAAAAAGATCAATTAGTTTTCTGGGCATTTCAGAAAACCAACGGCAACGTCCAATGAGGCCAAATAGTTTTCGGCTCTTCGCCGAACCGCAGAAACAGACCAATTATTATCGCTGCGTGATAATAAATTAATAAATATAATTCTTTTGTTTTGCGGAAAGCACAACACTTATCCAATATTATGTCATATAAATGGCTTTCAATGAAATTTCTGTTTACTTGCAATTTCTGGATATTTAGTTCAAAAGACTAAGGGAATTTATTATCTAGATAGGAACTGCATCAGTTGCCTTTCTTCCTTCTTAAATTTTCCAGTAAAAAACTAATGGTCACTAGTGGTCACTTCAATAGATAAAGAGCTCTGTCAAAAGGTTGGATAAGTTGCATCTTTGTAAAAGCCATTTTGCATGACCGATCTAGCTCAAACACAAAACGATTCGATTTATGCAGAATTTGATATAGATTTGAAATCTCAAATTTGAAATCTTACGCCCGTATTCTAAAAACGCACTCACACTCAGTGTGGAGGTAATTAGCCTTTCTCACGCCGCCATTTTTGGGTGACATTTCAGCCGAAGTCTGGGAGATAAGTCCACATAACAGCGACGTTTTATAATTTTTTTTGGACGAATGATGGTAAATTTGCTTTGTAAATGGTTAGTTTATTTTGAAAAATTGCTTTTCACATTGTTTTAATTGTCTGCATTGGTTAACGAGAATTACATGCCACCCAAAAATGGCGGATATTTGTCATCGTGAGAAAGGCTAATTCAATCTCAGCTTCCCTGTGAATGCTGTTTTTGAATAGCTGGAGGGTGAGTAGTCACACAGTAAGGTACAACACTAACCCTCCAGCTATTCAAAAACAGCAATGGCACTCGAGAGAAGCTCAGATTGAACTTCCACTCATTGAGTGTGAGTGCGCTTTTAGAATACACGCGTTAAGACTCTGATATTGCTTCAAAATACAACATACTTAATCGCTACGAGCGCAGCGAGCCAACACACTATTCTTGACACCTATAAGGTTTCTCCAGAGTTCACTCAGCGCAACAATATATATATAGATCGCTCGAAAGACTGGGATCTCGACTTTGCGTCGGTCGGTAGTAGGGTAGGGATGTCTTGCGTTAAAGCTTGGGCTAAAACTTTCCAATGTCCACTCCAATTGACAAACGTAATATACAGAACATCTGTCAACATATAATTAATTGCATTCTTTGAAAAAGTATGTCGTGTAAAATGTTTTTATATATTTCATCGAAGTTTCATTAAGGGTACGGGTTTTATGATCGAATGGTCCTCAAAAACGATTGATAATGTATTACTGCAAGGTGACATGATATACATAAAGCTCTAACTAATGTTTAATCCCAGGTGACGAATGGTTGTCTGTAGACAACCCTGCCAACAATTATTAGAGTTTCATGTTGCATATATGAACATATCAATAGACTTTCTAGTTTTTTTACGAGCTATGTAGGTCTGTGATTGACACAAATCTACTACTTGTAGAGCCTGTTGAGCCAAAAAATGACATTGATCAACCCGTAAAAATTTACACATTTTTACAAACATAACTTATAGGACATCAATTGCTACTCTAGCAGCTATATTGGAGGCAGCACTTTCCTTGCGACAGTAACACCTAGTATATGACCAGCAAAAATAACATTAATTAAGTAATTAACAGGCTAACCTAGTTGGCTAGTTTGTTGGCATTATATCATCATTATTACGTTAAGCAGCTATGATAAGTCTGGATGAGAAGACTAATATATTGCTTTACTTATATAGTTATCCAAAAGGTACTTATAATTTACTGAATAATTTTAATCAGAATGGGTTAAATTCTAGCCAGGTTCCTGGTTGCGTGTCCATCTGATCATAACCTGGCTAATTTAATCAGGAATTAATCCTGGTTCAATTACAACCAGATTTTCTGGTTAGGCCTGTTCAAAAATAAATAAATAACAAAGAAATTTAATCCGGGACATTCACTTAATAACCCAAATATTTTACGCAGTGTAGATGCATGTTACATACATTGAATAATTATGATAAAAAGGACATAACAGTTTACCTTGAAAAAATGCAGAAGATGCTTTAGAGCCTGCTTTTGAGAAGTGAATAACAAATGATGTATACGTCAGGACAAAAGATGCTGCTTGAAAATTATCGTAGACAATGACAAGCCAGGCATTTTCTGCGAACGCAAGAGCCGCAAACGCGGCAGCAAAAATAAACAGCGAAATAGCTATAACATTGAGCTCACCAAGTTTCCCAATAACAGCAGGTGATAATACGAACCAAACAGCAACGATTGGTCGCCTGAGCAGGCCACCAACTGCCATTACAAATGGACTACCACCCAGCTGTTCCATATACCAGAACTCCCAACGCAATTGAAATGCGCTGCAGAGACCTGCATGTGCGCAGATAAACAGGATTAAAATATAGTGCGGATTATAGAGGACACGTTTTACTTCAGCATTATTAACGACGCGTTTCTCAAGATATTCATATTTCATCCATGGTAAAGCAAGTGGAGTCAAACACTGAACGGCGGCCGCGTACAAAAAAGCCACATAGTAACTGGGTACTTTTTCACCGCAAACAGAATGAAATATGTGGCCAGCCAATACACCAACAACGAAAAGCGAAATTCCAGCGCCGAGTTCACCCCAACACCCGTAGTAACCCAGCTTGGCTTTATCATCCTTAATGTGAGTCATCGTTGCTACTGTTATTAAACTAACAGATAGTTTTTTGAATAGCTCATAAATACCCCGCAAGAAAAATATTATCAGAAAGAAGGTAAATCCTGTGTCGCTGTTCTTGTCCAATAAATTCGCAATCGCCGCGGGTTTCGTAGTGTTATTACCAAAGCTAGAGTTTCTCTGTGGTAATAATTCGCATGGTGCATCAGGGGCATTTGGCACCAGAAACAGTAATATAGTTGGAATTGATATAACAATACATAACAACAGCATTATTTTTCTTACTCGAATGTCAGATAGATAACCAGCAAGCGGAATACCAATTAACTGAGTGACAAAACCAAATAAAGGAACGATACCAATATACAATGTACTGTATCCTAATTGTGCCATGAATAACGGCGTGTATTCCTCGATTGTTGCCACACACGAACGGAAAGTAAATAAGACGAAGCCTACAGCAACGTCGCCGCGAGTTAGCGAAAACATTTTACTAAATGTGCTAGCAATATTAAACTGGCATCACGCATGCATGAACAGTGAATTTATAATCACGACGGCTTGAGTCTTGTAAGCGGATACGTCTCGTTAGGGCAAGTCATTGGATGCCAGTCAAGCTGGCGCGACGGAGTTGGACGGTTAGCATTTATAAGGCCGATAGTCAAGCAGATAGAGGACCAAAATTATGGAAAACTTACCATATCGTGGGACAATTCCATTTTGCCTTCATATTGTACCCTGAAGGCTAATAAGTACATTTCTGTATGTTGGCCGCGTTAAAATTTCTTGTGGGCTCCTGCCTACACGTTTTTCTTCGAGTTTTGTATTAAACTCTATTACAGTTAAATTCAGTGAAATTTCTGATACATTTCTAATACAAATGACTTGCATCAATAGAAAGCTAACAAAAAACTACATGTAAGACATTTAAATGGTTAGTTAGGATTTTCATGCGGTTTTTCGAGTTATTGCCGTTTCAAATGTGAAAAATAAGCCAAAATCTCGCAAAATTCCTGGGTACCAGTCTGAAAACACATATTCAACAGCTCATAACTCAAGAAGAACTTGAAAAACCCGGGTAACCGTTTACATATCTTATATGTAGTTTTTTGCAAGCTTTCAAATTATCTAAGTCATTTGTGTTAGAAATGTATTTGAAATTTCACATTTTTTAACTGTAATATAGAGTTTAATACAACACTCGAAGGAAAACGTGTCGGCAGGAGCCCACAAGAAATTTTAACGCGGCCAACATACAGAAACGTACTAACTAGCCTTCAGGACACAATATGAAGGCAAAATGGAATTGTCCCACGATATCGTAAGTTTTTTCCTTCCGTATCTGCCCGACTACGATTTCCACTTCAAGTCTCAGTTCAACCGAAACGTAACGTACCGTAGCATCTTCTTTTGTGTTGAAATCATTAGTTCCATCATACCAGGTGATCTCGAGTTCGTATTTTAGCCAATCAGCGCTCAGAAAGGGTTGTCCGAATAGAAATCCATTTTGATGCATTCAGTCAATTATATCTTTCGTTATTCTTTATGAAACTAGTTGAAATTTTGTAATTATGTTTGGTTATGAGAACTATAGCTCTGACAAAAATATGGAATCGAAATAAAGTATATTACAGGAGATATTCCGTTGTTTTAATCATAAAATGGATTTCTATTTGACAACTAGTGCCAGTACTTTTCCGCGTATCAAGATCATCTGGTATGTCATATTACGTTCATACATCCACATCCAGGTCCTGTTACTCCAGTATCTCACAGCGCATGCAAGTACCTCTACCCGAAAACGGCAAACTCCACACTCTTTCTGTCCGGAAATCAAGTCTCTATATATATGAATGCGCGAAGCTTAGTAAACAAATCAGCAGAATTTCAATCTCTCGCTGCAGACCTGGACCTAATCGCTGTCACTGAAACTTGGTTAAAACCTCATATATTGGACTGTGAGATCTTGCCTGGTTTAGACTTTTCCATCCATCGACGCGACAGAAAGGATAAAACTGGAGGTGGAGTCAGTGCTAGCAGTAAAGAACTCTATACAAACTCTTCGTCGTAAAGTCTTCGAGGGTGATGCGGAAATTGTGCTATGCGACCTGCTAGATTTTTTACAAATATTGTCACAGTGTTCATTCCAGCGCAAAGTACCGAGTAATGATGACCTGAATATTTTGTAGAACTTTCTCTACAGATAATCTGGCCATTCAAGCAGTAATTATACATGCAGGGATTCTCTTAGAGGTTATTCCTAGATGGTAATCACATTTGGACACATTGAATTTAAGATGCCAAAAATCGGCCCAAGATGATAGACAGTCTAAATCGTTTTGTAGAATTTGATGATCCTGGTGGTTGTCAATTACTCTATATAGAACACAGTCATCAGCGAATAGACGTAGACTTGATAGAAATATCGTTTATGTATAGCAGGAATAGCACTGACGCTAGGATGGATCCCTGAGGTACTTCAGAGATAACAGGTTCGGAGGAGGAGTGGGTTCCATTAAGGGTTCCATTCATTGAAACATTCTGGGAACGATTGGTATAATGAATGCTTTTATCCACGTTCGTGTATTCCCTCTGATTCCATAGTAGTCGAGCTTAGTCGTCGAGCTTAGTCAAGAGACGCTCTAAGAGAATCACATCAGTTTGATTCAGTCATGAATCACTATCAGTGAGATTAATTGGGTCTCACATGAACGATTTTTCCTAAGACCGTGTTGTTCATCAATTAGGATATTATTTGCAGAAAGATGTTTAGCCATGTGGCTGAGAACAACAAATACACGTTGGCCGATACGAGATTGGCTGATAATTTTTGCTGGATTTGACTTACTATTATTTTTTAATACAGCAGTGACAAGAGCTTGTGACCAATTAGATGGAATTGCGTTGTGATCGAAAGATTGCTGGAAAATAAAGACGAGCCACGGTGATACAGACTGGGCGATTTGCTTCAGAATTCTAGCTGCAAACATCTGGACCACATGTCTTTTGGGGAAGTTTATAAAAGTCGCGCGGAGCTTAGCGACACCATCCAGACTAATCTGCAGGTCAGGGATAGGCGTGTATGGTGACTGGCCCACACTAGGAGATGGTAACTGTTCACGAGTAAAAACTGAGAAAAAATATGAATTTAGGGTTTCCGCTTTATCATTATCTGAGATGATGACAGTGCTGTTAGATTTCAAGGGGGGGGGGGGGAGAATTCCTATACAGTAGATTCAGATTTACTATTCTTGACATAGGACCAGAACTTTTTTGGATTCTCGGTCAAGCTGCTACCCTACCAATGATGTTATTGAGGTAGTTCTCGTGTGATTCTTTAATAAGCTTAGACACATGATTTCTTTGATATTTAAAGCTATTCCAATATTGAGATTTCTTTTTTTGAACGGCCTTTTTATGGAGCCGCGATCTTTCCTACGCATCTCCCGTTGCGGAGTACGTACCACAAGGTTCAAACTTGAGCTTAATATTGTTTCTTATTTATGTAAACGATTTGACTAACTGTTTGAGAACAATCACAGCCATGCAGCATGTTTGCAGATGATACCAATCTAACAGCAAGTGGCGCCACTATATAAATGATAAATATCCAAACTAAATTAAATAATGATTTGGAAAATAATGTGTCCGACGCCCAGAATGCAGGAAATGGCAGCTGTTCCACTGGTTGTGCGAGGTCGAGGAGTCACGGAAAGATTTCCGGCTGGATCCGGGTGCTCTTTTTGTATTGCCCCCTCCCCGTACTTTTGAGATGCTTTCGCAGCCTATGGATAAAACTGAATATATGATTAACGGTTCTAGACAACAACTTAGCAAAATTGATAATGATCCTGATATTAAATTGGCAGAAAGTAATATAAGGGTAAAAGAAACAAAAACATTAGGAGTTATTGTTGATGAACAATTCAAGGAGTACTCATATATAGACAATGTTATAACCAAGGCGTCGACGGGCATGGGAATGATTCGATCAATGAAAGCATTTGTACCCCAGTCAACATTAATTTCTGTATATAATGCAATAATACTGCCGCATTTTGACTGCTGTAGCCCTAGTTTGGGAGATAGGCAGGCTTTTAGCCTGGGTCCTAAAAGAGGGCATCCAATTTTGGTACGATACATCTACATGAAAGGTAGAGTCGAGAAAACATTCCTCTGGAAAACCTTTGAAGTTTACGTTACTTCATGTCAGTATATGTTCCAAGCTCGTTCGAAATTTTTCAAACACACTTGGCTTTGTGAGTTTGTGCCGCTATGCTTCTTTACTTAACTGCTATGACATTTTCATTCAGCCAGGTACACCATCAAATTGATTAAAATGTCAAATGTATAATAATAATGAGAATATAGCTATTTTGTTTCAGATATATTAATATACTTAGGGAAATCATTGAAAATAATTTCCCTTTCCCCCAGAATTTGGGCGTCCGGCAAAGGCGTCCATTTTTTGTTCTAGGGGCGTCCCAGGACGCCTGGACGCCCTTCTGGCTAAAAGCCTGGACATAGGTAAAGCTTACTCGCTTGAAAAGCGTAAAAAAAAATGCAAAATAGGGTTGCTTGGATTATTCAAGATATGGATGTTGCGTCACATATGGGGTCACGCAAATTTTTTATCTTGACAGCCAGTGATCAATATGAGCTCTAAAGTCGTTCTAGCTTGGTTGCTATTTCAAATTTCGATTTGAATAAAAACATTTTAAGCAACTCTTGATCTTTACTCTGGCACTCAACGTCATCAAATGGGCTCGAGTTAAGCCCATTTTCATGCACTGGGCGAATTTGTTCGCGCGAAGCAAAAAACAAATCTTGGCAATGTGATTGGTCAGCGAAAAAATTCGCCACGAAAAAGTTGTGTGGAAAATGGGCTTTAATGAGGTCAAGAATTAGTCCAAGATGGCGGACTGCCCATTTCTTTCAGTCAAAATATTCTAATAGTTAAGCTTGATATGAAAAATCTGCAACAAGATTTAATATAATAATAAAATAGACGTTCTCTGACCAAAAATATATATTTATTACAAGCTTTCGGCTACCAATCTGTAGCCTTCAACGGGTATGAGTGTATGAAATATGAAACTATAGTCTATTATTGTATATACGGAAAGATTTGCATAATTGCGTATGAAATATGAGTGTGTATTGTCAACTATGACTGCTTTTTTATAAGAACAGTATATTGTCCGGGAAGTGAACATGAATTGTTGTCAGCATCAGTTGTTAAGGCTGTATGCCATGACTCTAGAGTTTTTCGGGTCCTAAAATTTCCCTTATCGATAACTTCCGCGTTTTCAAAGTCAATCCCAGGCGCGGATCCAGCCTAAACCGTGACCGTGGCGCACTCCAAAACCGTCAATAATTAGGGGGGTCCGGGGGCATTCCCCCCCGGAAAATTTTTGAAATTTGAACCCCGGAAATGCCATTTCCTGAGTTCTGAGCATCGAATTCTATCATATAATTCGTCATTAATT